AAGGCGTATCAAACACGCCCTTAAATTTTCTTTATGCTATCTAAAAATACTTCCTATCTCATCAAAATCTAATGCTTAGGTTATTTAGTCGTTTGTATGATGTATCCTTCTTAAGGAGCTTGTCTGACCATGTATATGCTTCAATCTAGATTAAAAATCTATGGGACATTGTACCTGCTATGCCTGGGGACAGATTTCTAAGCCTGCTTCCACCTTGGCATGCATATGAACGAGCTTGTGAGTATTTCATATTTACCCATGGAATCGAGCAAGTATACACAACAATAAAAAATCTAAAGGTAATGTTATTTCCCTTCCTATTTGGAGTTGCTGTACTTCTATCCCTTTAATTTTGTAGTCATGACCTCACCAAAAGAAAAAGTTTGTGCAAAAATGAATTAATTGTTGTTTGATTGTGAAGGTAAAGGGTTGATCAGTTTATTTCTTCAATTGTAGGAAGACTTGCAACGTTATCAACCTCATTATCTGATTTCTGTTCCATTAGTGTATGAGACGCTTTACAGGTAAATCTGACTGCCTGTATGCGCTGTAAGTCATTAAACATATGAATGTCCCATGCATATCATGGGACAAGCAATAATTTTTCAGCATGTTGTGCAAGTTGTGAAAGAGGGTTATTATAATTAGAAGAGGAACGATTGAAGAATAAGCATTGGATGCATGACAGGAAGTTTACCTCCAAAAAGATGTAGGAGTGACATTGTTGTTCTTTATGCATTCACCTGATATTTATTTCTTTTAGTTTGAGTTTTTGTTCCTTTTTTTATTTATTTGTGTCATTCCAATTATGAAGGTCTATAATATGCTTTGTAGATTTATTCATTTCTGTGGTTTACATTATTGTCTTTCAGTGCTAAATGTGTTTTGTGTTATTTTGCGCAGTGAAGCCACTTTCAGATCCCATATTTCATAGTTATACCTTTTCAGCTTGATGAATTCCAAAACTGTTTATATATCAACACTGTTTTAATTTGCAGGGGGATTCAGAAGCAATTCAGTATGAGTTCTGCTGTACGTAAACTTGTTGCTCTTCTATTCTTGAGGATCAGTTTAGCATATATGGAGTCCAAAAGAATTTACGAGGTTGAATCCTAATCATATTCTTTATTTTTCCAGAATTTGTTTTAACTGTTTATCTGTTCAGCCCATTATAATTAGAGATCACTATATTGATAATTGTATGCATGTTGTTTCTCTTTTGTATTATAAGATGTATCCCATAGTATTGACTGATGTCATTTTTGCTGAAGATAATTATCTCCGATGGCATAATTCTATATTTTTTGATGGCACAACTTATAATGAATAGTCTTTTAAGTTTTTTGTGGGCATATGAGCTCTTGTCCCTTGATGAGATAATATGCTGTTTTGATAGAATAATACTTTTTCTTTGTTTTATGTGCGTTTGTTGAGGATTCATATATTTTGACAGTGTCTTTCTCTAATTAAATAGCAGCCAAAGGTCTTGAATTCTCACTCTTCTTGTCATAAAGCTTACATTCTATCTTCTTTTGGCTTAAACATTCGACAAGGATATGGTCTAAGATGATAGTGGAGCTGGTCTTTGAAAATTTGATTGGTACAAGTCTTGAAACCTGTTGAGATACAGATACCGAATTTCGGCAAGATATCCCTCCTGTTTCTAACTAGCTTGATTGCCCTCCTCTTTTTCATAAAACTAGAAGAACCCATTTCGTTTCAAATAGGAGCAATTACTCCCTTGTAGTTGTCAATGAGATTGAATAAGATTACAGAGATCGTTGAAGATTGAATAAGATTTCGGAGATCGTCAAATATTATGATTATATTATTATAATTGTATTAGATATAAATAGATTGTTTTTACTATTAATTAATATTATAATTGATTGTTTCCATATTTAGTTGTTATTTTAGTCCTATTGAATGAGAGAACCTCTCACAAAGAGGGGTATCAAGTCTTTTATTGAGTATATTTGATATGGTATCAAAGTCGTTCTAATTCTAAACAAATTAACCATTGAATTTCGTT